ACAACAAACATCCTGCTCACACCAGGGTCATCCAAAAGTGCAACCAATGCTGTTTCTGTTCCATATCCAGGTCTGAATCCTGACTGAGAAGGATCCAGATAACCTGCTTCATCCAAGGTCCTCTGAAGCTGTTGCACAACCACCATCTCAATCACCTTCCTGAAAAAGGGGAGGTTGGATACTGGATGAAAATTGTCCAGTATCGCGGGGTCTAGCGATGGCTTCTTGAGGAGGGGGAGAACCAAGGCCTCCTTAAGAGGTAAAGGAACAACCCTCTCACTCAAAGAAGAATTCACCACCACTAGAACCCACTCATATGACACCCCCATGGGCTGCTTTCACAAGCCAGGAGGGGCATGGATCCAAGGGGCAGGTGGTTGAGCTCACAGTCCTAAGGACCCTGTCCACTTCCTCTCGTCCAACAGGTTCAAACCATTCCCAGATAACTGGGCAACTATACAGCAGAGCATCACAGAACTAGATTCTGCCAACTCTAACATTTGCCAAAAGCATGTTATTTCATTCAACAGTTTTTCCCTTTCCACAGATTAATCTAGATAATCCAGGTCATAGGTTATTACAGGCAAAATGTGGGAATATATGAAATGATGATGTATGCAAGGCAAAAGGAGAATGCAAAACCGAGGCCTTCAAATCTTTCAACCTGCATGATGAAGGTCTTTCAGAATTCAATTTCAAAAACAAATATTGTAATCATTATAAAGTGAAACTATTTCTTTATTAGATTTATGTCCCACCTTTCTCATGGTGTTATATCTTGCACTCATTCCTTCGATTTCCTCCCACAACAACCAACCTATGAGATAGATTGGGCTGAGAGAGAATGATTGACCCAAAGGCACCCAGTAAGCTTCCATGAATGAGAGTGGATTCATATCTGGGTCACCCACTCCCAGTCCAACACTTTAAACACTGCAGCACCTCCACCCAAATAAGAAGCAGAACCTTGTTGTCAACAAACCTTCCAATGCACAGACCAGTAAGAAACAAAATTACAGCATTAGAATCTGCTGTGATCAAAGGAGCCAAACTGAGAAAGATTTTATCTGCAACATGTCCAGCAAAAATACCACCGTGAGCTACAGTTCTTATTATAAGAAACTTTTTATAAACTTGGATGCAATGATCGCAGGAAAAAAACCTATTTCTTGCCTAAGGGCTCTGTCCTGTGTTTGTATTTTCCTTCACTATAGTGCATGTTGTCATTTCTACTATTTCATTGACCTGGTTCCTAAAAAACCAAGAAGCCTACTTGGGTCATTCAGTAGGAAACGGATGATTATAAGAAATTATGTCTCCTGTCCACATTATTTCTCTCTTCAAAGATCAACCAGGGTTTGACACAATCAGACTTTGAAATGGCAGGTTGTTATTTGCTTTTGTGAACTGAAATGAAAGAATTTGCTCTACAGAAGCAGTAAGTAATGTACATCCAGTAAGCTGTTTTATACCAAAGCAGATCTTTGGCCAATCTACGATTGCGATAGCAATTACAAGTACATCATATAAAAAGGATAAAAGCACAGACAGCAGAGGCAGATTAAGATGTTCCATTGCAGCCCAGACTTTAAGAAATTAACATAATAATACATTAAAAATATTTAAAGGTCTGTGAGAATAGGCCTGTCTGGGTCTGCTGGGATAATAAAATAGGCAGCAGGCATGATCCTCAGGAAAGAGCTACAGGGCTACTGATGGCCTATACTGGCTCCTACTGGGCAGATAAAGGGGGTTATGAAACCGAAGGACAAGTAACGGCTAGAACCAGATAAGACCGGTTCTGCGGTTAGACTGGTGAACTATTGTGACCTTATGACAAATGGACCCTAAAACCATACCTCCTGTGTTATAATTATATCATAATTGCACCCCCACGTGTATATTATGGGATAGGCAAGGTGTTATACGCATGTGTGATTTGTATCAAATTCTGACCAATCATATTCTTCCTCCCTGTTTGAATATTGTATAAAAGACCTAATGTGACAAGCACAGAGTGCGGTCCCTGTGAGTGACACTTGGATGCATCCTCCTTTATTGCTGCAGCAATAAACGAGTTGGGTTGGATTTCTCTCATCCTGCATGTTATTTGGAGACCCTCACGCCGGATCCTTGTGCCTACCTGACACCGGTTTTCCAGCCAACACCACCCCTGAAGAGGCATTGCCCAGGCTACTGCTGAGGTACATACATCAGCATCCTGAATTGGGGCCAAAAGCAAATGGGGGGAAAGGGAAGGTTACATAAAACTTGTGTAACATAATCATAATGGCCAGTTACATTTAGCATTCTATCTTCCATATCTTGTACTAATTGAAATTTTCACTGAAATGAGGCACTGACATGAGGCATTGACCTGGGAGACATTGCCACAAAATCTGGGATTGATTCATTTATCACAACCTGCCTTTCTTCCAAGAGCTACCCTTCTCTAATGAGAGGCAGATCCTTCTCCTTTTCATCCTGTACCAGAGAAGCTGTTGATGGCCATTAGTTTACTGGAGGAGAGGTTCATCCATTCTAACTGTTGACAGTTACTTTATAAAAGTTAAATGGCTTGGGTACTACAGCAGATATAGCTGGATGCAGCCAACAGAAGATAACTTAGGAATCATAGCAAAAGTGTGAAATTCTTTCCCCCACGAGACTCAGCTTTCTTGCTTATGGTCTTTTGCTGCATAGCAAAAATTTTAAAGCAACTTTGTTTAGCCAGGCTTTTGGTTTATCAGTTATATAATGTTAATGAGATGATTCTGAAGCTTCTAATGCTTTGGAAAATTATTACATTTTGTATTTGTTTTTAATACTTACTATTCCTCTGAATGATGCCTTTTGTTACAAGAAGCAGGAAAGATGCTCATAAATCTAAGTGCACACACAACAAATACTATGAAAGCAAAGGTCAAGTGATAAAATAGAATATCAGACTATTCTCTAGCTGTCAGACCTGCACTTTGAGAAAAAGCTGACTAGTAAATGATAAATATTTAAGTCAAATTTAGCAATATGGGTTGCATTTTTCCCATTTTTAGCTCTAAAGTTATGGGCAAAATAGTCGGAAAAAGGCAAAATCAATCTGATATTGATACTACAACCAAGCACACTTGCTTGATCAAACCTACCATACAAAGAGAGAAGATCGCAGGAGTTCTGTGGCAATGACCTTTGGTGTATATATGCCAAAGGTATATAGATAGATCCTTTGATCAAGAAGAAATATCAGCTAGGCCAAACCTATGACTGGACAGGAGGGCTATGCTGGTGAATACACCTTAATGTTCAGTACTTCCCAGTCTTTATAAAAGAGTTAAGTTCTCAGATTTAGGAATCAGGACTTTTCCTCAGAACTCCCTGTTTTAAAATGAAGTCCCATGCTTCATTTTAAAGTTTAAACTCTAAAGTTTCAGTTTAGAGCCAGACCACTTTATTACATAAAGCTCTGCCAGGACTACCTAACTCTGCCTCAACTACTGCATCCAAACTTAGACAAGACAGCCTCATATTATCCCTGTTCCCTAACTTTTCAATTTCCCTCGCTTTGCTCTATGAGTTCTGGGGCCTCCTTGATTGTACCCTACATTCCATTTGGACCTAATATGCTAGTCACTTTCTAAGACCCAACCCAGAGCCTGAAAGTTCACTTTTGACCATTCTTGCCCAACACCATCACAACAACCATTGGTAGTTTCTCTTAAATTTTACAAACCCCATCAGGGAGAAAAGAGGTGGAAAATCTGCGGCCCCAGGCCACATACAGCCCAAGCCCATTTTCTGCAGCTCTCAGAGATCTGACTATGACTGTTGAAAACTGACAGCACAGTTTCTTGCCATTTTGGTATGGGAAACATATGACAACTGAAGCAAATCCTAAAATACTCATGTCACAGTATAAAAGACAAGAAACCTACTCAGTTTTCTGGCACCCACAAGATCTCTAGCTGGGAATTCTGAGAACTGCACCTCTATAAGGCTGAAGTGCACCAGACTGAAGAAAGTTTGGCTAAACTTGAGAGTTGAATTTGAGAATTCAGATTTCATTTTAAGAACTCCATTTTACCATACTGTTTGACTACCACTGACCATGCCATTGCATTTCAAAATTCAGGAACACAATTGAGTTTACAGTTACATTAACCTCCAGAACAAAAAGAAAAGCAACATCATTTGTATATGTTGCAGCTAAAACGGTACAGAGATTGAAAATGGCAGTTTCCCCTTGAACTTTGGGGTTGCCTCTTTTAGTGTCAAATGCTGAGTGTTGCTTAAGAAATGATACTGGTTTAATTCCACTTCTGTAAAGAGAAGAAGTCTGACTTTCTGTCTATTGTAGATACAGCTTTCCTAGTAATTAGGAAGATGGGCAAGAAAGGAGCACAATGGCCACAAAAAGAAATGAAGTCATTTGAGCAAAACAGGATTACAAATGGCTAACAGCAAAGGACTGTATTCCAGATTAAACCTTTCTCAAACAATCCTTTGTGCGGGGTCTGTATCAGTTTGTGAACAAAGCTTTTGGTGGGTATACGCGCACGCGTGCACACATACACATATTTGTATGTCTATGTATGTATATACATAGATGCACCTCTACATATACATTAACCAAAAAAAAAAAATGATTCCACAAAAGTTAAAGAATTTGAAAACATGGTTCTTTTGATGATGTTTTTTAAGTGCCTGCAGTAAGAGAGCAGTTTTCAAGATGGTGAGCGTGTTTCACATCCATTGGGAGAAGGGGAAAAAAGGATACTTTCGAAAAACACACTTAAAAAAAGAAAAACACACAGCTTCATTCCTTGCCTAGTCAGACAAACTTTTCCTGGAAAAGCTACCACGTAGATGCGCAGGGAGAGCAAAAGTGATGAGAAGACTTTTTAACTCAGTCATCACCGCATGAAACAATTTTAGAAAGCTTTGTACTAACTGAAACAACATCTCCCTCCTCGAATTCGGGCCCGGCAGTTGGAAGTGTTGCCTACCTTCAGGACTTCCATTGGCACCTGAGTCGCGGGAGGAAGGCTGGTGGGGAGGCTGACGTTGATGGCAGGTGTCTGACTCACAGCCCCTCTCTGCTGCATGAACTGAGCCGCCTGCTGCTTCTGTCGCTGCTCTCGGCGCTCTTGCTCCTGCATTTGCTCACGCATGAGCTGCTGTCGTAGCAAAATCCGTGATGTCATATTGGAGGAGCTTAGCGGAGGCTTGGAAGCTCCAGGGTGCTCCGAACTGCTGAGGGAAACACCAGAGAACACTCATCACTGCTCAGTAAATATTAGCTGGAGTTTAAAGAGTCAGGCTTTGGGAGGGGGCCATTGCATGTGCTAGGAAGTGGGCAAAAACCTTTGCAAGTGTAGAAAAATGCCTGGCAGGGGTGTGGATGTATATGGATTTCTGGGCTTGATCTCTGTTTAACACAAGAAGTTAGCTATGTTCTAGTCTTTCTAATGATCAGCACCCCAGTGATTATACGATACTAATTCAAAAGGAGACAGAAGTTGTCTTTGATTTCCCTACTCTTTCAGTCAGGATTCCTTTATTCCCTTTTTCTTTTCTTTTTTTGGTAAGGCCTGATTTTGGAACCAATAGGGGCCCAGTTATCATACTGAAAATGGAATCAAATATATGCCCTCTCAATAAGAGGTCCCTATAGATTTATTGATTATTAGACTGATATCCTGTCTTTATTTTTGCAACTCAAGGCAGTGTACATAATGCTCCTGCCTACTTTTTTCCCAGCAACAACCCTATAAAGTAGTGCTGAGAGACAGTAGCTGGCTCAAAGTCACCCAGGCGGCTTTCATGCCTAAGGGAGGACCTGAACTCAGCAGTCTAGTCCAGCTCAGTGGGAACTTCTAGTCCAACTCAATGGGAACTTTCTAGTAGAGCTCAGTGGGAACTTTCTAATCCAGTTCAATGGGAACTTCCTAGTCCAGCTCTATGGGAATTTTCTACTCCAGCTCAATGGGGCTGTCACCCAGCAGCTCAGGTAAAGAACTGCTATAGCAAGACAGGAATGTTATATTCAGGGGAATTACTGTCTGACAACATTGTGAGAAAACTGGTGAATGTCTAGGTAGTGCAGCTTTGTCTGGACAATCTCCTGCAGCATTTTGTTCTAGACCCTGCATGCATTACAACAATAGGGCCAAAGTTTTGTCGAGGCAAACAAGAAGCATTTTATTCTCAAGCATCTAAAAGTCCTTTGTGAAATGGGCACGTCAGGTGCTACTGGGTGACAGTGCGAACTGTATCAAAATATGTAAAATGGAAACAATTTAATATTGAAAAAAAATGTAATCAGTGAAGGTGACTCTTCTATGTAGTATCTGAAAATAATTTATTAGATGTATTAGTGCTTAAGAGAGAAATTTTAAATAAGAGAGTTTTCAAAGGTGTAGATTAGGCTAAAGACACACATAGGACAGGACAGGACAAGCCAGGATAGGGTAGGGTAGGGTAGGGTAGGGTAGGGTAGGGTAGGGTAGGATAAGGTAGGACAGGTCAGCATAGGATACCATAGGACAGCATAGCTATCTAGTTACTTTAAGAGCATTATGGGAATTAGAAATGGGAATTATTTTATTAATGTTTATTGTTCTTTCTTCCAGAAATTCCACTGAAATAATAATGCAAGCAAACAGCACTGTTGTGACAGAGATCTAAACAGGGATCAGTGTCCAAATAAATCTTATACCTATATAAGACTTTCTTGAGATGAACATACATTTCAAACACTAAGCAATTCAAGGAAGCAAAAATTGTATCAGTTTTATAAACCTCACAAAATGCAAACAAAATATCTGACTGAAAGCAAATGAGAGGCGGAGGAAGCTTTTCTGTTCTAATCTTCTCCAGAATGTCATATTACCTGAATCCAGTGGTTCATTTGGCATTTCAATAATCCAGACTTTGAAAGGTGAGCATTTTTGGATACCTCCCAACCCCCAACTCCAAATGGATCAAATACAGATTTTTCAGACCACTGACAATTTCTTCCCCTGCATCCCCCCTCCCCTTCCAACAGAGGTGAGATGGGATGGAGAAGGATGACTGTGTTACTATTCCAGGCCTGTCAGGTTGCAACATTCCCAAGGAGAGTGATCCGTTTGATAAACTACAAGAAAAAACCTTTGTGGTAAACCTATGCATCTGTGGAATAATCGGACTAATTAGCTGTTCAAGAGAAGTCACCGACTGCGATGCTCAGGGAGAAATAGGAGAATTTTCAATTAATAGTGAACAATTCTCACACCCTACAAAGTATCACAGGGTCAACCTAACATTTTAGATGGGAATGTTTGTCTTCTTGTAAAACAGCTATTGAATAACATGAGTTATAAAATCCTGCAAGAAACACTGTCCTCTTTGTCTAGGCCAAGAGACTGGGCCAGAGAAATAACTCAGCCAGCATGGTATCAAGCTAAACATATGTTGTGGAGCTGTACTTAACTATCACATAATACAAATGTCACTTTTATGAAGCGGGCTTCTGAAAACGTATTATTTGAATGCTTTTATTGGCCGTATATATAATTAAAACATGGCCCGACAAAACAATATCCAGTGTCAAAGGTACCTGGAATTCCAGAACCTTTAAGAGATGCTTTATTTATGAAGTGAAACCAACAATTCTGTTTTATATTAAACTAAAAAAATAGGACGAAGGTTCAACATTGGTAACATTCATGATATGTGGAATAAAGAATTAGAATATCCAATTTTGGAAAATCAGTGCATCCAAGTTTTAAGAAATAGAAAATATATTTCTTATAACTTAAGACAGAAAAAGAAGAAAAATTTGTTTCATGTTTATTGGAATCCACAAGAATGTTGTAAGCAGGTTGGCTATCTGATTTCTTACGTTAGCGTTGGAAGAAATTTAAGGGCTCCCTGACTCATCTGGTGATGTCAAGCAATGGCTCCTTTTCAACTTAATTATAGCCTTGGGAAAATTATAATGGTCAAAGATGTAAATATAATGCTTAATTCTATTCCCAAAATATGGGATTTGACATTGTATAAAGAACATGGCTCTATCCAACCTGGAGTATGGCAAAAAGAATTATTTTATGTACAAGGAAAGAAATTTACACTCCTGATATTAAAGAATGGATCCTAGATATGTGTTCTTTATCAATTTTGGAAATGTATTTACATTCTAAAAGTGAGAAGATGAAACAATATATTTCTGTATGGTCTAGATTTAATAATAGGTTTCGGAATGTATTTCTTCATTTTTCACATTTCTAAAGCTGCCCAACAACTTGACGATTCTGACTGGTGTACAAAATTAAAACCAAGATGCAGAACAACATCAGACAAAAGAAAAAGGAGATGGTCATCCTGATGGAACAAGTATAAACCCCACTTACAAAGAAGCCCACTTCCTACCCTAGCCCAAAGCCTGGGGAAAGAGCCAGGTCTTCAAAGCTTATTTAAAGGACAGAAGGACTGGGGCTGTTTGAATAGGTTATTCCAAAGGGCAGGAATAATATATTCAATATGATATATCAGGAAGTATATCATCTTCAGATATACTTCCTGGGTCTCATCAGATGATACCATTTAATGGATGGGACCTTTCTGTCTGATCTTACGGGATGAGCAGAAACAAGAGGAGAGACAAAGTCTATCAAATAACTAGGCCCATGCTATGTAAGGCTTTGTAGGTGATAACCAGCACCTTTAATTGCACTCTGGTAACCAGTACAGCTTACACAAGCCTACTGGTAAGCAGTGCAGTTTGTGAAACAGACATATTACATGGTAATATTGTAGCATGCCTACAACTGCTTCCACTGTTGCATTCTGGACCAGCTGAAATGTCCAAGTAGTCCACAACAGCTTTCCCATATAAAGCACATTGCAGTAGTCCACAATCTGAAGTAACCAAGGTGTGAGTGACCATGAGAAGGACCTCCCCATTCAGCAACAGGTAAAGTTGGCACACATGATGAATCTGTGCAGAATCCTTCCTGGCCACAGCTGCCACCTGCTCTTCTAGCAGGAAGCTGTGAGTCCAGGAACACTCCCACATTGTGAACCAGTTTTGTCTGCAGAAGTACAATCCCATTCACAAGAGATGAAACAAGAGATGGAAAGTCCCTGGATCCAGAGAGCTCTTGCATCCACAGCTACTCCAGTCTTGCCAGGGTCAGGCTTCCTCATCTAGGCCCCTCTGCTTTCAGGCACTTGGATAAGACCTTGATAGAATAATTTGGTTAGACAGTGATCCAGATATACAGCTGAGTATCTGCAGGGTACTGATAATACCTCACCCATGCTGAAAAACCACCTCACCCAGTGACTTAATGCAGCATTAGTATCAAATTTGTATGGAGATCTCAGCCTTTCTCCTGAATATATAGGGCAATTAACCCTTATGGAAGCCAAATCAACAGTAAAGGAACGAAGTAGGGACAAGGATCATCAGAATGATCTTGCCACTATTCCTGAATTTTATCACCAAATGTTAGATTGCCACAAACTCTCTACATAGTACTGACAATTAGCACCTGCATTAAACACACACAAATATACCGAGCACTTTATTTTATAAAAGTATAATATAATATTGTATAAAATTGGTGAGTTGTTAAGAATTGATTATGAAAAAAAATCATAGACAACACTAAGTTCCTTACAACTGCATGAAGTTAATCAAAGTCTTTCTAGAATAAGTTGGAGGGATTATAATGAAATCTATACTGTCATGCACCTGGCAATGCTATTTATTTACTTATTTTGGTGGGAAGGTTGGAGAAACCCAGAAAAATTACATAAGTCTTTCAAAATCAATTAAAGATTATTAAAGGATAAAAAAGTTGCCTGTACTTTTCCCTTGAAAGGTACCACGCAATAAATTAATTCTATTTTTATTCTTAGCCACAAGATTTATTACAGAAAAGCATTGGAAAACAGAACTACTTTTCTGGAGCAATATAATTTAAAAGTATGGGAAATCACACAGCAGCAGAAGAATCTTTTAATTAAGATGGCCTAATTGAAATTGAGTCAATTTTTAGTTAAACAAACATGCTAATTCCTAAGAGATTACTTGATCTATGCAAATGTGTTCTTGAACAGAAGTATCAGATATGGATGTTTAAAGTGACTGTATCTTTCCTTAAGTTACAAATGTATTTATATATAATCACAAATGAGATTTTATTTTGTTCTTGTGTGGCTTCCGTTATGTGGCTTATTTATTCATTCATTCATTTTAT